CCTTGCATCTTCCTGGTCTTATTTCTTCCCGGCAGTGTAGACCATAGATATCCATAATAAAGGCCATTGGCCAGCAGCGCGGACGAGACATCTAGCCTTTATTATGGATATCTATGGTGTAGACGCTACTTGGCGAATATCTTCTTCGCCATTACGTATGTGTGCTCGGCAAGACCGTTTTGTGTTTGAGCGCCCCCAAGTTGTGTTTTACTGTAACTTCAGAAGCTCCAGACAAGTGAGCAAAATCGCCAATCTCATTGGTCGGATAGTTTTTGACGCGGTGCGTCAAACCAAAAAAACGAACCCGAGGCGTTTTTTAAAAAATGACGCTTTTACGCGTGCCGTTTTTCGCGTCGGTGTGCACACTCACATAGGCGCCCTTTGTTTAGTCACGAGGCGTTAAACGTCGGCGAATAACGCGCGCGAAATTCGTCCCGGTGTGAACAGGCCTTTAGGTTGTGTCCGAAATCGCCCCCTATACCCTTAATAGTGCTGTCCGAAAACATAGTGGACTTTATTCACTCATTCAATCCCACAATGCAACGTAACAACGAGTGTACAACTGATGTAGGCTCAACTCTATACAGGTATAAATTCCTTTTTAATTGATTAATTAGTTCAGGTTTATACGTAATTTCCATGGCAGTGTTCAAGATAAATCTTTTCATCTACTGGAGCTGCCAGTTTGATACACTTCAAATAATGCAAACTATGCAAAAGCAGCAGCTCTTCCGGCGCACACTGTTGTTTTGTATAGTGCAATTTGTGTGAATAACTCAATGATTTGTTTTGGAATTTTATACCAGTTATATGGTTTAAATTTTAATTATTTCTTGTCAATGTTGTTGATTTTGCTTTTTTTTCACATTTAGTTGTTTATATAGTGCATTTATTGTGTTGTGGGTATGTCTACTTATTTGTGATTGTGGATGTATTCCCATTATGATTTACCATAAAAAAAACTCTGTTATTTTGAATTGTGTTGTAAAAGACCATATCTCTGAAAGCGTGTGTGTGAGAGAGAGAGTGTAATCATAGAAAATATGAGTCACCAGTGCTCTCCCTTCCCTGTGTGTTTCTGCATGTTGGTGCATGTGTGTGTGTGTGTGTGTGTGTGTGTGTGTGTGTGTGTGTGTGTGTGTGTGTGTGTGTGTGTGTGTGTGTGTGTGTGTGTGTGTGTGTGTGTGTGTGTGTGTGTGTGTGTAAATGTGCATTATCCATTCAAAGAGCCTTGATAAGGAGGAAAATTATGATTGTAAACAGACTGACGTGCCTCAGTGGTTTTATGAGGTAAAAAATATCTGGGTTCAGGTTTGAGTACATGCTTCCAGTTATTTACTTTCAGTAGTCCTCTAATTCAAGGCTTTTCTGGATGTGCAAAGCACAATAGCAAACATCACAAACTGATTCTGATCTCACCTTCAAATGCCCTCCATACACTTGTTACTCAGATTGTCTAGTTCCCTGCTAGTAGCTCTGATGATGAACATTAACTAATGTAACTGTAATGTGGCTCCAAGAAACGTTGGATCCAAGTGCAGTAAACATTTATTAAAACAGGACTGAAATACCTCTAGACAAGGAACAAGACAAATCCGGGCACATTAAGATGCTACAACAAACGCACACGATACAACCATATATTGGCAACACTAGACAAGAAAGGAGAGAAACACTGGGTTAAGAAAAACAAGGTTAACACGATAACAAGGGGGAGTGGTTAATTGTCATGTGTATTTGTCACACTAGGGTAACCAAGGGAACTAACAAGACACACCTGGGTAGACTAATCAACATGAAAACTACAAAGCATGCCACCAGACAGGAAAAAACAAAAGTCCTCACAAAAGACAGGGGAACACAGGCTGGGATCATGACAGTTAATACATTGTTAAGGCCTGTTCACACCAAAAACGATAACTACAAACATTGTAACAATATTAGCGTTCACAGCAAAGAACAATAATGTTCTGTTCATTATAAGTGAGCGGCGCTGCAGTTATGTTGTCTGCCACTTTAAATCCTCGAACTCATTAAGGTAGAATGGATTCTGATTGGCTGTCAATGTTTTTAACATTCATTAGCGGAAAAAAAAAAAGTTGTTCTGAAAGTGATTCCAACAATATCATTCTTCTGTGCTGTTATCGTTTTAGTGGTGGGAAACTCCCTATTCTCAGAATTATTGTTTTTGGTGTGAAAGGGTGTGTAGTTTGAGCTAGTTTGAAAGTGTCATGTAGGAAATGTCAAAACTACTCAGTTTTTCATATATGTTTGAATGTACATAAGGTGGATGTACACAATGCATGGTACGGCTCACTTTTGGGTGGTTTTCCATTGTGTACAGTACCTAGAACCTGGTACTTTTTTTAGTACCACCTCGGTTCTAAGCGAGGCGTATACCGATAATAAAATATGATGTGTAAACGCTGCAGGTCACTGAATGGTCAGAGAGAATCGTCACAACCAGCGTCATTAGATTTGCAACACGAGACACCAAACCCGCTAGATTTAAATGGTCACCAACAGCCACTACAGTATCTTTTGTTCGCTCAACATTTTTAAACGACTTGCTTTAAACGACCGCGGCACACAACTTCAAAAAAAAGAAATCTCTGTATCGCGGTCAGTAGAAGAGGTGGTGGCACAAGCACAACTATAACAATCAGTCTATAATCCCACCCACTTTGAAGCTGTACTAAACTGCAGTGGAAAAGCAAACCGAGCCAAGGTGAGCCGAGCAGAGTCGTACCACGCAGTGGAAAAGCAACAATAGAGTATGCAATGCATGGAATAATGCAGTGTGTGTGTGTGGCTCTGTTTACATTTAAAATTGAAGTTGTCATTTATTTTTAAAAAATCATTATTTTAAAGGTCCACTGAAGTGCCTTGAAAAGTGCAGCATTATTGTGTTGACGTAAGTTTCACTGAAACAGGAAGACAGGAGGGACATATCAAACAGCCCCGCCCCTTTTTAAAAATAGCCAATAGCGTTTAGTTTATATCACAGCTCGACCAGAGCTCGGTAAAGCCGCAGTTTCTTCCTAATCTCTAACCGTTTCTCCTCCTAATATGATCCTTTACTAGCTTATAGATAACAGTAAGGCTAACATATTCATACTAAAAGGCAAAAAATCATATTTTAGTTTCATGGGGACTTTAAAGCACTTTCAGGGAATCATTTGACCCAGCGATTTGTTTATGAATCAGTCTGATCCAGTTCACAAGACAGAGAATCATTAAAATCAGTGACTCAATGATCCTGCTCATTTGAAGGGAAAGATGAATAGCGACTTTAATGTCAATCCCTTCTTCTCACAAATAAGACTTCAAAAGACTTAAATTTAACCCATTCACTGCAGGACACTTGACACTTTTTTCCCTATCACGTACGGTAGTAACCATCAGGTATCATTAGGTTGCATTCAAAATCCATCCTGTGAAAACGGTTTTGAAATTGGAGATTGCGTTACCATGGAAACAGTACGTGTAAGGCATAAAAAATATTCAATGGTGGGTATCTCCCAGTGGCTATTTTTGGTATTACGCCTCAAATCGAACTTCAATTTTTGTGATATCAACTTCAAATTTGGGACACAACTTGGTTAGACATATGGCTTTGATGTCATACATTTTTTAGAGATTTTTTTTTTTTGTATAAAATAAAAATGTATAGTATAGCCTACATTTGCTTTACAGTAATAACTTAAAGTCCCTGTAAAGGCAATTCTAAAAAAAATTCTAAATGCATTATAAATGTTAGAAATGTATTGCTAAAACATATTACAAAGACTGTGAACTGTGAAGTACTGAATTGTGGAGTTAGACCGTTAAACAGTTTTTCACCATTGCTATTTTCCGGATTTTTTGGGCGGGGCTAAAACGGGGCTCGATGACGCACTGGAGCCCCTGAGCTCCTGGACACGCCCCTACTTGATGACGCACTGAGGCCACTCAATCGCGACTTACTGTCAGTACTATCAGTTACAACAGCCTACAGTTTGCTAGCTATGCCTTCGACACGGAAATGTGTAGGCTACTACCTGGATGCGATCATGTACAAAACAGATCGGTGTCTTTATTTAAATTTCCTGAAAACGATCACATCAAGAAGAGGTGGATTAATTTTGTTGAAGAGCCAACCTTGATGTAGAGCTGAGGATCACCGCCAACACCCGCCTCTGTAGCGATCATTTTACACGGGATAGTTTTATAAACTTTCGTCGGAGACAACTGGGATTCACTGATAATCCGCTGTTACTGGTGAATGGGGCCGAACCGACTATCTCCCGCCTCGGCCTTCATCTCCCCGTCCCGAAAGCAGTATCACAAATATCAGCGTCGGCTGCTTTCCCGCGAGTGGGCGTGGTTTCAGCGCAGCCAGCGGACACGCCCCTAGCGTTTGAGAGCAGAGAATACTGCTCATTTTTTCAAAATTTTGATAGCTTATTTTATGTACTTGCCGGCTTTTTTATCATTCAAATTTGGCTGGGTGGCTAATAACACATTTTTTTGTGGTGTGACAACCTCAGAACACATACTTAATTTTGACTTTACAGGGACTTTAAATTTTTTAAGTGCTTTCATGTCAGCAATAATCTGCTGCGTGTCTCCTTTAAAAAGAGTATTCCAAATACTTAGTAATACAGTATTCTGTAATACAATAAAGTAGCCTATACAATTCTTGAATTACAACCATTTAAGTTTGGATAGTGCATAAAACAGTTAAGAGGATGTAGCATTATTTTCAGATCATCCATGTCCTATGCACAACTTGCACGATATTTTAATAATACTTTTGCATGATTTTTAAGTCTCAGCCCTCCAAAACGTCTTCTTTCAACCTTCTTGTACGTATCAGGAAAATGCTTTAGCAGACAGATAGCTCTTATTAAATTTGGTTAACAGTAAAAAAAAAAGTTGCACCAGTTTAAATATGAAAGCAGCAAGTGTAGAAATGCCTACCACAAATATTACTTCCTCAAATGAAAAGAGTAGGCCTATGTTTATATACTTCCCCAGAAATAGCGCCAACTACAACCCACCAATCATCACCCAGAGAGACACACCGATAACCAATGACACACCCAGTGGGTGGAGTCGAAACGGTGGGCGCGGCACTAGCAGAAGCCTCTGATTGGTCCGCTCACCGCTGGTGACGACGCTCAACGTGTTTCGCTTGTTTTGAAATGGGAAGTTTGCAACTTTGCAAAGTGTGCAGCGCTTCTGTGCAGCCGATCGTCCGCTAAAGAGAAACAAGCTGTTGCCTTCCCTCCGCGCATGAAGACACGGTGGGAAAGCGCCTTTTCCAGGATTCCCAGCTGGGTTTGACAGATCTGCGCGTGGGAGGGATATGGATGTGATTCCCATGTGCAGTATTTTCCAGGAGCTGCAGAGTGTCCTTGACACGGGATACCTGTCCGCACTGCCATCTTTGGAGGAGTACTGGCAACAGGTACTGTAAAGTTTAAACAACCTGTTTTATTTTTCGAATACTTTGATCAAACATGGGAGTAATAAAAGCAAAGAAGCGATATAATATCGGATTTTTTTTTGTATATAACATTTTCTACGCTTATTATTGCAACTAAATGAAAATAATAACTAATAAATTATTATCTATCCGACTTTAAGTGATTTTAATTTAGCAGTCAAAACGAATGACTTTTCTTTTTACCAGTAGGCCTATAAAAGAACATTTTCTCGTTCTACAGTGTGAGTATATTTTGAAAGATGTGAGTGATTGTGCTCTATATATACGCACATACTGTTCAAAAGTTTTTAGTTTTTGGGGGGGAATTTGTCTCATGCTCTTATTATGGCTGCATTTATTTTATAAAAAAACAAACAAACAGTAGTATCATGAAATATGATTACAATTTACAATAACAGTTCTATTTGAATACATATTAAAATGTAATTTAATCCTCCGATGGTAAAGAATTTTCAGCGTTATTACTCCAGTCTTCAGAGTCACGTGATCCTTCAGAAATCATTCTAAATGCTGATTTGCTGCTCGAGAAACATTTCTTATTACTATAAATGTTGAAAACAGTTGAGCTGCTTCATACTTTTGTGGAAATCGTGAAACATTTTACAAAGAAAAAAACAAAATAGTTAAAAAGAATATTATTTATTTGTAATGGATTTTCTTTGTATCATAAATGTTTTTCCTGATCAATTTAATGCAATTTCTTTTTTTCTTTTTTAAAAATGAAATCTTACTGACCCCAAACTGTTGAACTGTAAATAACTTTGATATAAAATTACAGACATAAGAGGCTTGTCATACTTTTTACTCTAGTGAAGATCTCTCAAGGTAGGTTTAATAACTTTTTATATAGTTTACATACAGACATATGTCTTAAAGTCTTAGCTACAAAGAATGTGGCATGCAAAAAATAAAATCCTGTCATCATTTACTCATGCTCATGTAATTACAGACCAGATATTCAGATTTGTTGAATCTCAGAGGCATTCTTCTCCAAAACACTCCGAAAATTGCCAAAAAAGTATCACGTGAGGAATAAACAGAAATTGAATACATTATTGACTGATAGTTGAGTATGGACTATATGGTAACTTTGTCATTTTTAGAGCTTTTATACTCTTTAGTATAGAAAAGAGCACCTCTGAAATTCTGCTAAACCTCACATTTAGTGTTCCACAGAAGTCATGCAGGTGAAAAAAATTATTACAGGATTTCATTTTAGAATTTTCCGTTTCGTTTTAGAATTTTTCATTTGGAATGTTCACCTTTTGTTATGCTATTAAATGCATATAGTGCATGTTTTCCTGTTGGCGTTTGCGTCACTGATTGCCCTTTTCTCTCTTACAGACTTGTCTTGAGCTTGAGCGCTATCTGCAGAACGAGCCCTACGTCTCTGCAGCTGATCTGAGATCAGTGTGTGAGTGTGACGATCTGTGGAACCAGTTTCTGCGGTGCTGTGGGACTGAAGCCAGCTCGTCCCCTCCAGAAGCTTCCGGCCCCAGTCAGGACGGGATGTCTACGGCTTCCCATTCGTCAGTCGGCAGCTGTGAGAAGATCATTGGCTCTCCTGATGCGCTTACACACCCACTGGATCAGCAGCATGTCACCACACACACACCCCCGACGCCACCCTCCTCGCCCTCCCTCGCTCTTTTGGAGGTTAAAGAAGAGGCAGAGGAGGCGAGAGGGGAAGAGGTCAAAGGTGAGGGGTTATCCGAAGGACGAAGGAGAGCTCATCGATGTTACTTCAACGGTTGCAGGAAGGTGTACACCAAGAGCTCTCACCTGAAAGCGCATCAACGGACACACACCGGTAAGCAGTTTCTATGTGAGGGTCTATAATCCTACCTGTATTTTGACTTACTGTTGTCACAACAGTTTTCTCAGCTTTGGGAAACAAAACTTCTCTCATTCGGATCGTGCTGAATGTCACTCCGATAAATCTGCCATACAAAGCATTTTTTAAATTACATTTTTTATTCCGAATCCTGTAAAGCCTACTGGCTAATATTTTAATACACAAATGATCCACGCATGCATGATCACAACTTTGCTGAAAATCCTGTTGCACACAAACTGCTACGTGCCTTCTGTCATCTGATTGACAGTTTATACTTTGGCAAATAAAAAGGCCTTTTAGTATCATTTAAAAAATGTCCACCATCAGGTCACACCCTCTGTGAAATCAAATATTTAATGATTTTTTTATAAAGCAAATGTAAGAATAACTTATTGTTATTAATATTTCAATATTAACACTTATTAACTGGACTGAAGCAACCTAGGTATACTAGATTATCCATACATAATTTCCTAGAAAAATCATGTTAAAATATGAGTATCAAATATGATACATCAGGTTTTTGAGGAACATTTTGTACATCTCTTAATCATCATTGTATTGCATTACATCATGTTTTGCCCCAGAATAAAACAGACTACAACTACAGAGCTTTGATCACAAAATGTATAGAGATATTTATGTGCATTTTATGTTAGTAGTCTGCTATACTGTTATTGAGATCTCATTGTTTTACATTACAAGCTAATTTAATCTTACTTTTTGGCCATAAATATCAGCAGCTGCACCAAATTGCATATTTATGTTCAATTTGGACCTCAAATTTAGGTGTTTTTTTCTTTCTCAAGTATGAGCTTCATATTCTCACTATATTATGCTATTTGAACCTTAAAAGTCTGATGTTTCAAGTATGATACGCAACAAAAAACACACATGCGAAAGTTTCTAATATTCTGTCTGAAGGTTCGAACAGTTTACTGAAATGACGAACAATATGCACAGTGTCCGTTGATTCCCATGTGGCGCTGCCATTGCATAATGTTCATTTTTTTTTATATTTAGTACGCAGACCTCCTCCTCTGGAGCCGAATGCTTGAAGAGTGTGTAAATGTGGTTTGGTGACTCCCTACATTCTTGGAATGCTCATTCTTAATGATGCTGTCTGTCACACACTCTAGGAACATAGATTACAACACTGTATCCACACTGTTCATCTTGAATGCAATCTCAAAGAATGTTTGCAAAACTGACTGACTTCCCTAAAAACTAATAAAGATCATAAAGAAACCCAGATCAAAGCTCACCATGTAGACGTGGGCTTGTGGCTAAGTATGTGCTTTTCTTTTTATCCTTTGTTGGTTTTTAAATGTCCTCTAAATACACAAATTGACAAAAGCCTAAAAATAAAACCCTCAAAGAATCGGTGACACCACAACAATGTGTAATACATCTTTAAAAATAACGGTTCCAAAAGGCGTTTTTTTGCAACGATGCCATAGAAGAAAAATGTTTCATTCCCCAAAGACCCTTTCACTGAACAGTTCTTAAAAGACTCATTTTTTTATTAATGTGAAGAACTAAAAGAACGACTTATATCACTATAAAGAACACACACTTCGAATTTTAACGACTTAAGCGATGCTTCTCCAGACACCTTTTTATAGTTTTTCTTGATTTGTCATAATAACTTCCACAACTAATCTTTCCTCATCTCTATTTGATAGTTAACTCTTTCTTTCTTTCGTTTTAGTTAAGTTGCCAGCCACTGCAAGCGTTTTTGATAAATTTCTCAATTTTCATGGCTCCCAGAATATTTTGTTGTCTGAATATCTGAGCATCTGTTTTATTCTAGCTTCATAACGATGATCAAAACATGGATGGAGTAAATCGAGTCTATCAACACCCCTAATGCCTGCACAGTCCTATATAGCTCATCCTGGGTCAACATTTCTTTCAGTAACATTTGCCAGTTTTGATATGCTGTTGAATGTTGATGCGTTTTCTCACAAATGACGGACATTTCCATCAAAGGCGGGGAAAGAGTTAATATACATGAGAATCGGTGCTACGGTCCAATGAGATTTCAGTGTGGGCTGAGCTACCTAGAACAACACCATAATTAGAAACAAAGATAATGACAAAATGTACAGGATTGCTTACATTAAATATACCACTTGTGTATTTATTCCATCACGTCACATGACATGCAGGTTAAAAATATAATATTTCAATTCAATGTTTTACTTTGTTTTATTTTATAAATGATATTTTTATGAACCAAGTCATTATTAGCTTTTCATCAACAACTCATGGACACCATTTTGGGAGTCCCTGAATTGACCTTTGTGTGATGTTATGTTGAAAATAAGACCTTCAGCACTAAATATTGAGTATTGTTGTGTGTTTGCTCGCCCCCTGCAGGTGAGAAGCCGTACAGGTGTTCGTGGGACGGCTGCGAGTGGTGCTTCGCTCGAAGTGATGAACTGACAAGGCACTTCAGAAAACACACTGGAGCGAAACCCTTCAAATGCAGCCACTGCGACAGGTGACCGCGAGTGTGTGTGTGTGATCGGACACAGTGTTTCAAACACAGATTTTTGAGCTATATGTAATCATTATCTTCTTTCAGGCGTTTCTCTCGTTCTGATCATCTGGCTCTCCACATGAAGCGACACATCTGAACGAGAGGAGTAAGGGACAGACGCACTGGTACAGCACAATAGTGAACAGAATCTGTGTGTGAGAATCCCAAAGACCAGCACAACTGGTTTTCTATGTATTCACTGAGTGTCAGTGTTGCACTTTCTTGCCAATTATATGCTTTCAGCAAAAGGGACATAGATTTTGTTCCCATGCTGGTGACATTTGACTTGTTGATTCAAGTTATATATGATTTAAGTATCCATATATTTGCAGGCTTTGCAAATTGCAGTATATTCATTTCACTCTCCTTTATAAAAATAAAATCTTGGTCCACACAGAACATGTGCCATTTTACCATAGTAAACTCTGCCTGCTTTTCAATTCTGCACTAAAAATGATCCACACCACAAAAACTACAGTTTATATTTTGTAGAAATTATATTTAAAAATAAAGAAACTGCACCAAAGGCGTTACTATAGTATAAGATAAGCTTTATTTTGTATAACTTTTAAAAGTGAAGTAACACTTTACACACTGAAAACTCTGCTTTATTGTAGAGCTGAGATGTTTTTATCCAGAGCAGCTATGTGTCCATGTAGTTGATAAGAATACATATTTGAGATGAATAAAAGTGTGTATTGCTGTTTATTACGACTATCGTCTATAGTTTGCGAATGACCTGCTTCATCCAGCAGTTACAGGTTCGTTAATTGTGCTGATATTACTGGTAATAAAACCTTTTTAACCACTAAAGCAACAAAATTGCTAAGGACTAAGAATTTCATATTAGTGCCTTAAAATCACGCTCTTGAGCTGAAATATGAATCATTTATCAATTATTATTTTGGCCAGTTAAAGTTCAATTTTGGCCTAGAAATGTTGGATGAAAGTGGAAAATCCAATAATAATTTTGTGTCATAAAGAGTAGATTGTCTGAATTGTGTTATTGAATGATTGTTACCCAGAGAGAAGAACTGGATTTGCCACTGTGGATGCTGTAATGTTGTGGTTTTAAAAGAAGCATCAGGAACTTTCACTGGCAGTTTTCTGGTTACTTTGAGCCCAGATTGACATGATGTTGGCGGAGCTCCTCAGATGGAGCTCTAGCATTTGTTGTCCAGATGTTTAAAGCCCTGCAGGTGTTACAGAGACAAGGGTGTTCACTCACAGGGAATGATAATATGAAAGCTATTCTGGAATTCACAATATCTTCAGGGGAATTTAATATACACTGCAATATTATTCCTTAAAGGAGTAGGCCTAGTTCACTTTAAAATGAAACTTAGCCCATGATTTACTCACCCTCAAGCCATCCTAGGTGTATCTTTCAGACGAATACAATCGGAGTTATATTAATAAACACCCTGACGCTTCTGAGCTTTATAATGGCATTGGATTGCAACCATCAGATTGAAGGTCAAAAAATGCATCCATCCATCATAGAAGAACTCCACACGGCTCTGGGGGGTTAAGGCCTTTGTGTAAGAAAAATATTCATATTTAAAACTTTATAAAGTAAAATAACTAGCTTCCGGCCAAACGAACATATCCGATTTAAGTTATAAAGCGCAACTTACACAGCTTGTGACGTCAGATGTAGCGTAGTGCGTCATGGCGTAGTGTAAATATCAGCAGTACGTCGCATTACTTGCATAATTGCTTTACACTTAAGTCGGATCCGTATGTTCGGAAGCTAGTTATTTTACCTTATAAAGTTTTAAATACGCAATGTTTTGCTTCAGAATGCCTTCATTAACCCCCAGAGCCGTGTGGATTTCTTTTATGATGGATGGATGGATGCACTTTTTTGAGCTTCAATCTGATGGTTGCAATCCAATGCCATTATAAAGCTCGGAAGCATCAGGGTATTTATTAGTATAACTCCGTTTGTATTCGTCTGGAAGAATAAAGTCATATAAGCCTAGGAGTAAATCCTGGGCTAATTTTCACTTTAAAGTGAACTACTCCTTTAAAAATACTTTGTGCATATTAAGATTTTTAAGGGTTATGAGCTAAACAATTTAACAAACATTTTACGTTTGGTTCATGCTATTTGAACAATAGTTTGAAATTTGAGTTTGAAATGTCCACAATTTCCTGTACCATGATCATTAACATGACATTTGTAACCTTTCAAATATCTCTGCCTAGAGGGTCTGATGTGATGCTTTTGTTTTTATAATGAAAATGGTACTTTTTGTTTGCCTTGTATTGTTGTTTTCTTTGTTAAAAGCATATATATGTAAATATATATGAAGCAACAATATAGTGTAACATTTTTATTATATCTTTGTAAATACATTTTATACTACAACAATAATAAATAAATGATTTTTATAAACCTGTTTTGTAGTTTCTTTATTATACAATCAGTAAAACATTACACATTAGATTCTCATTCTTACAGGCCTAGACTGCTGCACTTCATGCATTATAGATAAAAGAGGGATCCTGTATCAGAGACAACAATAAAGATCCACAGGACTGTGTGGAAACAGTAGACAAAGACTCTTCTGGAACATTGTGTACGCCAAAATATGATGCACTTTGTTCAATGTTACAATAAATGTTACTGCAAGTTCATGGGAGTGTTTTACAGACTTGTTCCTCTACATGAACTTAAAACAGATGCTCTACAGACCCACCCTCACACACAAACACTGGGAAAGAAACTTTCAAATTCTGACTTAATTACGCCTTTAGTTCTGTAGTTTAATAACATTTTAGTTCTGAAAAGAAAACAACAACAAAAATGTTTTATAACATAAACATTCAGATTTATTAATATGCGGAAAACGTTACATTCAAAACAAATCTGCAATACTTAAATTATAAATGGACTACTATGTAATAGGCTATGTAAGTTGTTATAAGATGACAAGCGCAGATTCTAATTAATTTATTTGCAGAAAATGCTCAATTCAGTGCAAATCTGCAGTAATTATATGCATTACATGTTAAATGTGCTTCTTCTAATGTAATAAAGATGTGTGTACACTCACACACGAATATAAACAGAGTAAATCCCCTTCAAATAAAGATCGTTTCAATTACATCATGGCGACATAAAGAATTTGTCACTGAATAATTCATTAAAGAGATTTGTTTAGAAACGATCCTTCATCCAGTAATGAAACAAGTGAAGACATTCATTCAAACCGATTTAAAAAATAAATAAAATAATTCAAATGAATTCAATATTTTTAAAATAGACTGCAGCAATTAACATTGTCAGAATTACACACTATAAAAAAAAAATAAAAAAAAACGTGATTCTCAATTTATCCAGACAAGGGTTACAGGCTGTTGTAACTTACAGCTTTAGTTACAGTGGGAACGATGATTTTAGTGACTATGGAATTTGGGAAGAAACCAAATTCTTTGTATGGAAAATGACCTCTAGGAACAACCATATCAGTTTAAAACTTTCAAATATTTAACCCTAATGTTTAACTCCCTATGCCCAAAAAGATTATTTTGAAGCTCCCTCCTTTTCTAAGTACTTGACCCCTGTGTTTAAACAGCGTGACCCTTGTTTCCCTGTTTCTACTGACATCTGCTGGTCATTTTAGGAAGTGTGGTAAAAATGGAATAAGAATGGTAAAATATTTAAAAACCACGCATCATGCGGTCTCCTTTATCTTAAAAGTTATATAAACTGCATTTTATAGGCTCACATTATTTATGCATAAATATTTTTTTGTATTATTTTTTTTTTTTTGTATTATTATTATTATAGCCCATACTTTTATTTTGCAGCAGCAGTGGCTCTTCGTGTTGCAGCCGTTGCAGCCGGTTAAGGTCGCGTCTAGTGCGCATGCGCTGTGAACAGCATGCCATGGGACATGGAAGGAGAAGGACAGAGCTATAATCGTAACGGAAACATGAATCTAGGAACTCACATGCGTTTAAACCTTTAACTTAACTCATAATCACAGTAGTTATTAGAGACCGTGGATTTAAGCATCTAAAATGTTTCGTAAAACTAAGACAATCATTACGAAACTCAAAAATTTGAGGTGAGTAAATGCTACACGGCTCGGTTGAATTAAACTTCTGTCCTTCGGTTTCAGACATCCGCGTGATCTGATTTAGGCCGTTATTCATATTTTAATTGTGATTAATTTCTCATTTCAGGTCTTTTTTATTACCTGTCATCATGTGTATAGGTATAACTTTGACGTGTATGATGTAAGCCACTGAGAAAAGCTCAGTCATGCTGATTAGTCTGATGAATGAGTGGTTTGTAGTGGTTTGCAGGGTTCATGGAGGACCAGAGGCAGCTCTGCTGTAGAGAGAGCACTGCAGTACACAGTGGGACAGAAGATCCACGGATTCACTGTCCAAGAGGTAAAAAAAGAGAGTAAACAAATCATGAAAATACATGTGCTTGTATTGTTTCTGTTTCATCACATACAGCGAAGCAGGGGTTCTTAAACCTTCTCATTTTGATAGCTTCTAAAAAAAAACTAAGACAAGATTCAACCAAGATCCATTCCATTGTTTAAATTAAAACTACAATCACTGTAATGCACAACTCTAGTGATTTGCTTTAGTTAGTAAAGCCTTACAAATGAAATAATAGTCAGAAAACATTGGTGCAAACTGCAAAAATATGCAATTTGGTGCAGATGTTGTTGTTTATATGGCCAGAAAAGTTAGATGAAATTCTGATAGCTTGTAATGTAAATCAATGAAATTCTTAACACAGTGTAGTGGCAGACTACTTACATAAAATGCATATAAATGTTAGGTGACATTTTGTATGGATGTCAAGGTGACCTTGTGCTAACATCGATTGTGTTTTATTAGGTTACGGCTGTGCCGGATTTGTTTCTGACGGCCGTTAAACTCTCCCATGATGCCACGGGAGCTCAGTATCTTCACGCTGCCCGAGACGATTCCAACAACCTCTTCAGGTACAGTCTGTCTGCGTCTGATCGAGTCTGATATGCTGAAACATCTGAGGATTTTCATTTGAACACCATTAAATGCCCAGATTATGTCCACACTCCTCTGCATGTGTGTTATTGTAGTGTGCAGTTTCGTACCACGCCGAGGGACAGCACCGGTGTTCCTCACATTCTGGAGCACACGGTTCTGTGTGGCTCTCAGCGCTTCCCCTGTAGAGACCCCTTCTTTAAGATGCTCAATCGCTCTCTCTCCACCTTTATGAACGCCTTCACAGGTACTTCCCGATGTGTGTTTGTGCTTAAGTCAGTGTATGTGTGTGATTTGATTGTCTCATTATGTCAATCTCTTTCCCCAGCGAGTGATTACACAATGTATCCGTTCTCAACTCAGAATGCCAAAGACTTCCAGAACCTTCTGTCAGTCTA